CTCCGTCCAATTTACTTATCTCTAAATTTATGACAGGTTCCCATTTTCCACTTTTTATAGCTAAATAAGACGAATAGTTGACCAGCCAGTTACCCTCGGGCAGCTTGTACTCGGACCATTGGTGAAGTTTCCCGTCTTCTGGGAAGACCCAGTTGTTGTACCCGCTGCACTGGACATCGCGGAACGAGGGGGCGTCCACGTCGCACGGCTGCAAATCCAAGAAAACTTTTAACGAGTACGCTCGTGCAGGATAACCCAATTTCCAATCTCTCCGCAAAACTTGAAAAGTAATCACCTTTGATTGAAAATTTCATGGCCAATTGAATAGAAAACTTTTTACTTTGTCCCATTTTGCGAAATATATATATCGTGAGAAATTCGAATTTTTTTTTTTTTTTCGATTACATTTTAATCGCGGAAGATTTCAACGATGGAAATGTTTGAAAACACGATTATTACAGAGCATTATACATAATCGACAGAGAGGGAAGGAAGAGTCTGCTGTCTTGGCTTCTTCTCTCTTATCAACGTCATGGTTCTAAACTAGCTTCCTAGACTGTTAATTCGCCGTGAGATCAACGAAAGCGTAATAGAGATTTATCCTCCTCGCCGGTTCACCACGTCAAATTGAATAAATGAGGCGAACATCTGCAGCGAAAGTTTACGCGAATAATAAGCGTTTGTTTGGCGTGCACCAATCTTTTTCTATCCCAGATCGTTTAATTAAATTTATTCGATGAGAAAGTATCGTGATTTCCTCCCTTTCATTGCAAACACTTGCGAATGATTATACAAAGGATTTAAAACAAAAAGATGGACGAAAGATTTCTGAAAAATTTATCACTCAATATTCTCCACGAAACTTTGTTGCCCGAATAAAATTATCGTCAAATCGCTCGTAAATTATTCGTCCGCCCAAAATTACCACGTTTATTATTCCTTTCAATCATCCATTCTTCGAATTTCATATTATTTCGCACGATATCGACTCGATCACTCACGATTCGACGCCACCAATTTTGCCTATTTTCCGTCGCGCAATCGTAATCACAATTATTCACTTTCATCTCTCCATCCGCCTGTCGATTCAAAAATCGATCACTGCTCGATATCCGTCCATAACCAAACTTTCGTCTTTTGTCTCATTTTCCCACGACACGAAATATCGAACACTTTCCTGCCTAATTCAATTTCTGGCAAGATTCTTTGCAAGATTCGTGGGGAGGGGAGCGCTACTAACCTCTGTGGCGCATATTTTGTGACGTTTCCTGTCGCCTCTGCAGAAAGCGCCGCCATTCGATGGGACAGGATTGACGCATCTTCTGACCGAAAGTGTGACGCCGGAACCGCAGGTTCGGGAGCATCGACTCCAAGGTGACCAATTGCTCCAACCACCGTCCACGACACCAGGCTTTTCTCCGACCAGCAGGCATTTCATTCCGTAACACCACTGCAAAGTTGATTATCGATCAATCGCGCCCTCTCGCCGTTCTTTCAATTAGTCGCGTCACGCGCCATCTATCCGTCTATCGCGCTTCTCCATATCTCTCTCTCTCTTTCTCTTTCTCGTTATAGATTCCTATCGTTGCATCATAGAAATTTCGAACGAATCGATCGAAATTTTTCGTCTAGTTTTCTTCGATGTGACCAGTTATGTGAAAACCTGTTGTGCCCTGTTTTATGTCTTTCGAGAGGAATTTTCCAAGGGGAGGGGGATTGTTTCTTTGGAACTTTCGATTTTGGAGAGGGGGAAGAAGAAAGAATTATTTTGAGGAGAGTTATTGAAAGGAAGGAAACAATATGGAATAACGAAAGAGGAGGAAGGAAGATTTTAAATATTTTAATTTTTAAGTATTTTAATTTTAAGGACATTTTTTTTTGAAAATGTCTTTTGATTTTATATTTTTAACACGACGATCCTTTTCGAATATTTAATTTCAGAGGAATTTCAGAAGAATTTCAATTGAACGAAGGAAAATTATTTTTTCTCTACAGAGGAAAGAATATTTTCGTTCGATTTATATTTTCGACGTATGACACGTGTAAATATATCATCACAATTTTGTTTTTCCCAATATTTAATTTTCGAAGAGGAAGTAAAGAATTACAGAGAATGCAATTGTTGGAAACAAAGTATATATTGGAAACGAGAAGCAATTTTTATTTCGACATTTTTTTTTATTCTACGATCACAAGTTTTAAAACGGAAAAGCGATAAAGCTCGTTACCTTTCAATTTGGATAGTCAATTTTTCCCTGCAATCGGAATTGAAACGGTCGAAAAAGTAAGTTGTCGTTTAACGTTTTCAAATTTTTTCTAGAAAATTCATCCAATCGCTTCCATCGTCGAAAAATATATATATATATATATATATACAAACATTTAATTCAAATTACATCAAATTTCCCTCTTTCTACTCCACAGAGACAAAACGATTCGCATTCTTAAAAATTTCAAGAAAAAATAAAAGGATCTCAAAATGATAGAACATTTTCTTAAAACTCGTGAATCACTCAGAGAGAGAGAGAGAGAGAGAGAGAGAGAGAGAGAGAGAGAGAGAGAG